CCGGTGCGACTGTGACAACCAACGCGTTACTCCGTGTCCTCGATGTTGTTGTGGCTCGCTTTGGTGACTGCCGGAGCGAGGTCAATGTGTGAACGGGTTTCCACTCCGGGGTGGGGTACTGCTCATTGTGGACACCATTTTGGTGTCGTTGGCGTCACCGCCTTCAGCCTCCGTTCACCCACAGCGGCACCAACGCGCATCAATGGAGCTGCTGCTCTCCGACTACCCCACCTGGCCAAAAAACTCATGCCCACAGCTGCGGCCTGGCGGCCGCTGCCGCTTCATTAATTTTCGGGGAAACATTTTGTGTTAGGTGGAGTTCCAAAGCCACGGATTTCCTCCATTCTCTGCAGGGGTCCCTCCTGCAGCCACCTTGGATTTCCTAGATCTTTTCGGTGGTTTAAGTCCCTGGCTCCATCCCCCCTGGAGGCGATTCGGCCAAAGCTGCTGGCAGCGACAGTTGTGGGGCACATTCGCAGCCCAGCCCTGCTTGCCGCAACTGTCATCAGTGCATCCCCCGGCTTCAGCTCGTTTTGCCGGTGTTCGGTTGACAACAATTAGGCGAAGTCACGAAAGCTAGCCTTAGCTAGCTGGAGTTGCTCTTGCTTTAGCAAGTTAAGTGACGGGGTGGACGCACCTCAGAAACCTCAAATAATTGATTAAATCAATCTTATGGACCCCCCCCCCCCCGCGGTTCGACTCCCCCCTGCGCGCGGTGAGCGGGACCACCAAGCAGCTGCAGCACACCAAGCATCTGCATCTGCAGTCTACCACCAAGCAGCTGCAGCAAACCACAAAGGAGCAGCAGCAGCAGAAGCAGCAGACCCAGAGCAGCAGCAGCAGCAGCAGACCACCCAGCGCCAGCAGCAGCAGCAGCAGCAGCAGACGACCCGGCGCCAGCAGAGCACCCAGCGCAGCAGCGCCCAGCGCAGCAGCGGCAGCAGCAGCAGCAGCAGCACCAGCAGCAGCAGCAGCAGACCACCCAGCGGCAGCAGCAGCAGCAGCATACCAACCAGCGCCGCAGCAGCAGCAGCAGAGCACCCACCGCCGCAGCAGCAGCAGCAGACCACCCAGCGCCAGCAGCAGCAGCAGCAGCAGACGACCCGGCCCGGCTAGCTTTCGTTCACCCCCTCTGGCCTCAAGTCCACTGGGCCCAAATGATGCACGGATACACTGCCGGCTCCAAGGCATATTGGTGGTAGCCCCGTCATTTTTGGGGTATCTATTTTTTGTGGCGCACACATCACTCAAAGAAACAATGCCCCATTGCGACTTGTCCACCCAAAGCGGCCTGGAGGGCTGGAGGGTGTTGACGGAGGACCTTCCAACACGAACGGCAACAAGGCAGTCACAGAACACCCAGCCCAATATGAGTTGATGGTACGTAAATACAAATGCAGTGCCAACGTGTGTTACCTGGAGTTTTTGCTGATTGCTTCCGCCGTGTGTGCAGCACCTCCATCGTAGACCTCATCCTGAGGTAATCGAGGACATTTTGAGCCAGAAAACGATGAGTGCAGGAGGATTGCAGATGAGTATGCGACACATAGTGGAAGACGACAAAAGAGGACCTATCGTGACCCAAAACTAAGGGCAAGAAAAGAAGGCAAAAAGGGTGGAACAAAAAGAAATGACAAAGGGAAGCCGCAGAAAAACACATCGATCCAAGGATGGAGAAAGAACGGCAAAGGCAAGCAGACTGGCAAGACTCTCGGGAAGAAAGGCCCCCCCAAAAAAAAACAAACTCAGGGGTGGTGTATCACAAGTGTGGCAATGCTGGAAGCTACGCCAGAGAATGTTGGCCTGCCAGGAACGTGCAGAAGATTGAGACACATGATGTCAAGATGAAGAAGAAGGCATGCCCAGGACTTCGTTGCTTGGACAAAAGTAAGCAGAGTTCCAACTTTCACAGGTCAATGCGCTAAGAAAAGATCGCTCAATGTGTTCATGGTGAGGAATGTAATGATATTAGAGCCACAAACAGCCACTATTTATGAGATGGGTGGGCACATGGTTGATGCGCAAGGGGAACAAATCAAGAGCTACGGCACCAGAAAACTACGACTGTTCGGTGGCACAATCCCTGATGTCCGAAGATGGGCTCCACTACCCATGGTTGAGGTGGATTGTGCCCACGCTGCATGGCCCGGCTCTGATCTTCAGGAGTTCTCTGTTTTGTCCTTGTCTGTGAGCACCTCTTCCGGTATGAAATCGAACGTCCATACCCGTCAAAAATGTTTGTCCAGGTGTCGTCCTGCATAAACAAAGCTGTCGCGCCTTGCAGCCACGGGCGATCACCTTCATTGATAGATGTTTGGGGAGGTTGGTTGACAGGGCAAAAAATACCACATGCCACAAGTTTTCCGAAGCCAAAAACCACAGTGGGTGGTTGGAAAGGGCGCTACACCCTCAAGGTTGTAGGAAGATGGAGGTCAGAAGTGACGTGATTCGTGATGCCGACTATGCGGAACAGGTCGGCACTTGTCCGTCAGTGACCTCAGTTCAGATTTTCTTCACCGGGCCTCCCTTCCTTTCGCGGCGCAGCAGGCCTTTCTCTCCAGCCTGCTCGCTCTCCCCTGGAGTCCGCTCACAATGTAGATCCTGGTCGCAGACGGAACGCTGCCCAGCCGGCTGTGTCGGTCTCCTCTACGCGCCGTGCTTGTTTCACACCCCCCGACCGCAAAGACGGCCGCTCGCACGCAGCAGGCTCCGAAAGAAAGATGCGGATGGCTTCTTGAGAGCAATGTGCGCGGTCAACGGTCAAGAGCATGGAGTACAGCAGAAGGTGAATATGTTGCCATGGTTGGTCGTTGCATGGTAGCATTGTTCATCAAACGTTTCTCGGAGTTTTGACATAAGAGATACCAGATTTGGTATGCAGAAGTGATTCCTCCGTTTGCTGGAAGAATGGTGTCGGCGCCGTGTCGCTGCTGGGCTCTTGTGGTTGCAGCAGCGAGTGAACAACAACTACGAGTGACCGGAATGCCTACCGCCACCAACACCAGCGACATTGGGACAGGGGTTCGTCTGTACACGCTGAAATCGGATCGTCTGTGCACGCGGTGACGGGGATCGTCTGTACACGCGGGGATCGTTTATACACGCGGTTTCCGTATGCGGGGTGCCTAAACAATGTGGCCATATTTTGCGTTTTTACGGTAGGTGCACAGGTCGGGTATTGATCCAGGGTATCAGGGTGCTCAGATGCGTGTGAGCCCCACCCCTCCCTACCCCAACCCGGTGCCAAAGTAGCACTGTGTTGGCATTGTCAGTGCGCCAAAGTGGACGAGCAGCAGAGGCTGACAAGGAAGAGGGGGACAAAGATTGAGGACACTTCATGGTGGATCCGGCTGTTATTTACATTGCTATGCTTGGCCTGGCGAGCCTTGAGGTTGGCACGGTGGGTTCTTGTGAGCGCGGTGCAACGGTTCAGCAGAGGACAAGTTCACGAAGAAGGGATGCGTGAGACAAAGGTGAGAACAAAGTGTGAAGAGAAAGGGTCACAAACAGAAGGTCCAGAACATGAGGAAAAAACAGCAAAGGTGAGTGTGCAATGGAAAATCATTCAGATTGAAACAGCTTATGCGGATCAAGATGCGAGAGTCCTGAGTTGAGAGAAAATGAAATGTGGAGGAAACACGCAGCCCCTGTGGGGTGTGCGCAACTTGCCATCGACACTACCCTGGTCTCTCCCTTCACCGCGGCTGCGCGTCCCCGCGGCCGCCCAGGAGCCACCCTTGCCGCTGCCCGCCGGGCGAAGGAACGCGCATAACCCGAGCTCACCCGCGCCACCCGTTGCAGGATCGTGGTCGTCGGCCTTGAGGCTGGGGGACGATGGAGCCCTGAGGCGGCCACCTTCGTTCGCCTTCTGGCGCAGGCCAAGGCGCGCTCTCACCCGCCGCCTTCCCGGCCCTTCGCTGCGGCGGCCTGGGAAAGGCGTTGGTGCGGGTTCCTTGCCTTCGCGGCCCAGCGCGCCTTCTCGGCTTCGCTCCTGACCCTGCCGGGCCCGGGGCGAACGTCTACGGCGAGGCTCCGCTCCTCAGCGACCCTGTCGTCCTACCTGGCGACGGCGCGCGCCCCAGCCGCCTGGGGCCGCGTTCGTGAGGCCGCGGTCGTGAAGCGGCGCCCCTGAGCCGTGTCGGACTCTGACGTGCCCAGCTTGTCTCACCGGCCCGACCGAAAAGACCGTCCCTCGCACGCAGCAAGCCCCGAGAAGGGAAAAAAAATAACATGCAATCAATGCTCGGGACGTTGGAAAAACACAAAATGAAGCAGCGAGGAAGACCCAGAGGATCATCGGAATAGAAGATGAGAGAACACGTGAATTTGAACGACTCGAAGACGAAGTGAAATGAACCCGTGAGGCTTCAGAACACTGGAAGGATGGAGTGGAAGATGTGAAAGAGGCCAACACACGGGAGCTTAAGAAGATGAATCGGGCACGTGTGGAGACCGAGAGGTTGCAATGGGCAGTGACCAGTACACGTGAATGTTACCATGCACAACCCAATGGACCCACATGATAGACATGGTTGAGCACACATGTCATGTTCACATCGCACTGCAGGCTCCAAGGCATACGAAAGTGTGCGCCGTGCGCATCATTTATTTTATTTTTGGTGTTTTGTTTGGTTTTTGGTTTTTAACGCTGGCGAGTCGAAGCGGAATCTGAGGATGCCTTTGCGATTGTATTGTTGGTTCATGCGTTGTTTTTACAATCGACAGTTTCCTGATTGGGTCGTTTTCGTGTTTTTTTTGACCGTTCAATTGCTTAGCGAATTGCTTGGCGTGCCAGGGTTGTGAGTGTAGGTGGTGGCGGCACCAAAGGAGCCAATTTCTGACAAATTTGTGATGCAAGTCGGTGAAACTCAATTCCTTGTGGCATGTCGAGGGCTGGAAAAGGTTCCGGGCCCCACTATTGAACACAAATATTCGTTTCGTGTCGGGATGCATGGAGGCCATTTTGGATTCACTTAAGATTTGCAACCGTTCGGGGAGCCATGGGTGCTGCAACTGGCCGCGTGTCGACCGTTCGTGTGCCGGAGCTTCGAAATTACCAGTTGGATTGCCCTGATGGCAGATGCCCACGGAGCCCGGTGTTTGCCAAAGGTTTCTCTGAGTCGACCGATGCCTTCAACTCAAGCACTTCCATGGCTGCAGGTCGGGGGAACAGAGCATGCCCACGGATTGACATACGCATACGCTGACTGTGCAAGACATACTGACTGAGTTGAAGATGAATACTACCACTGTCACTATCACTGTCGAAGTTTGGGGTCCACAAAAATGAAACCGGTGTGACTGGGAACACTTTGTAGTGCCCTACCCGCAAACATTGTTCCCACCAACCGCACTGCCAATTGACAACACAATTCAGGTCAATGATCTTGTCGGTGATTTGCATTGAGGCTTTGTCACCGTCCACAATGATGCTTGGGAAACCTACCGGGACGACTTTGTGGTGCAGCTTCGTGGTCTTGCTGGATTTGAATTCTGGCAAGGCCCGGACATGTGTGTATCGCGCAAGCGTCGAGACATGTTGGATGTGAAAATTTGCAACACCCTCACTCTTGAATAGTTCGGGGTTTTCTGTACCGCGGTCAAACCGATCGAGTCCGGTGGTCATTCGTTTGGCCGGTCACCGTCCGTTTCCGGTCGCAAGGTGTGCGCTCCAGGGATGACTTCGAACAACTTTTCGCAGCCTTGGAAGCGAAACGGTCTCCTTTGCCTCGACGGCCGGACTTCATCCAAATGAGCCCTTGGAACTGGGCCCCTCGCCGGACATGAAAGTAAAACACATTGAAGAAACAATGGGGAGGCTGTCGTTGGAGCTGCAATTGACAAAAGCTTGCAGCGCCCTTTGGGACGACAGCGGCGCTTCCTTTGTTGATCCTTGTGAGGAAACCACTGCCAAAGCATCGTCACTACAGTTCGCGCTTAGCCAAAGATTCGAACACGAGAAGAAACTGAATCGAACAGTTTCTAGCTCAACCTGGGGCACCCCTCCTCCCTTAGCTGTCGCTTTCCAATGGCCTCACCCTGAGGCCTGCTACTTGCGCGAGACCCGCTCCGAGCTCCAAGCATGCCTTGACGAAGCGCTCCGGGGCAACCTGAGCGAGGAGCACTGGAGATGTTTTTTACTGCCCCTGGGCTTTGTGTGCCGAGTGCAGCAGCTTCCTTGTTAGATCATGGTGGGTGACTGGTGGATGAGTTAACCCCAGTGGTTTTGACCATGAACGATCAAAAGCCTAGGGCCTAGCTTCATTGCTAAGGTGGTTATCAAACTTTTTCATTCACAGACCGTGCGTGTATTTTACCTCACTAGCATTCTCCAAGAAGGTTGGATGCTCCATGGGCCATGCTGGTTTGGCGCTAGGTTTCTTGCCTAGCCAAGGCACCAAGCGCCAGTGGCAAGCATCAGCGAGGATCTATGGGCGACCTCATCACATGCTGTGTTGGGATTGCCCATCATGGGCAACATCTTGGGTTTTTTGGAGGAACCAGCCGATGTGGCCCGACTCTGCTATTTCACATCCAGATGTCTTCGCCAGAGCAGCGCCCCTTTGTGTGGCCCACAGTGGGAACAGATGTATATCGATCGATGGCCTGCGCTTTACCAGGCTCAGAAGTACTTGTCAGGCCTGAGCCATTTGGATGTGGATTGGAAGTCCATGCTTCTTGGCATTCAGCTAGTAACAAGGGCATCGCTACTAGTAGCTCCTGGCATTACTACTAGGAACAAAAAACTACTAGTAACAAAGACGGTGTCGATGCCCTTGCTCCATTCGTAGCGCCCTGAAAAACCTCAGAGAAGCAGACTCGCATGTGGTGGATGAAGTAGTCTAGGACTAGGAGTGTAGGAGGAGAGAATTGATGTTGCAAACACCCGACCGATTGCCAAGAGGGTGACATGGAAGAAGGCCCAACTCCCATTTTCAGAGTCAATAGAATAGGATCTCCGGGTGCATTTTTCTGGAACTACTGACTTGGGCCCACATCCATTGTACCCCCGCTGAGTTGCTGAGGTACCGACACACCTTGGCAGGCCAGTTTGAGGCCTTGCTCGAGGTGGGCTCCACAGAGAAGTCCCAACGCGAAGTGCTAGGTTGCTGGAAATTTAATGCTTTGTCATGACTCGGATGATGAAACTGCCACTGCCACTGGAGGTCTACGATCGGGAGAAGAAGTTAGGCTTCGCCATGTCTTGCATGTTGGCGAAGGTGCTCCGGGAGCCGACTTTTGTCCCAGAAGCCACCAAGTGAATTCAATCTTGTTACTTCTGGAGGTGCCTTCAAGGTGAGAATTGCCCACATTCGTTGTTGTTATGAGTTGATCGCCAAAAGACCCCCGGATGATGCACCAGAAGACCCAAGTAGATGCTTGTCACTTCTCCCGCCCGGTGGGCTGCTGTGGACAGGTCACCTGGGATGCGCAGATCAATTGCTACATCGCCAGTTATGTCAGCGCCAGCCAGGCGAAGACCATGGGCGGCTGGAAGCTGCAACTCCATGCTGGAACTCCGAACAGAGTGGAGAGATGTTCATGTCCTCGTGCCCATTTTTTCTGCGCACCCGGTGGTTCATTCGGCACCCAGGGCTAGCGCGGGGTGTTCGCGGTCCATTCCGCTAGGTTCGTTGTTCATGTCTTGCCAGGTGGTGCCGGAGCGTATCCCCTACCACGAGGGCTACCGGCTCCGCTTCTGCCCCCCAAGCGCCCGGGAGCTGCTGAAGCCCGAGCTCGTGCCGCCCCAGGCCTCGGAGCTGCCGCCTGGCACCGGACCGACGCAACGGACCCGACGGGTGGCGCAGGGGTGGTGCATGAACTTGGGAAGTCGCAGTGGTGAGGGGATGACTAAGTCGATGACAGATTGATAGGGAGAAGAGCTTGCGGATTGATGATGGGTGTCTTCTCGAATGGTGCTTTTGTTGAAATTCACCTCATCCCTATGGACCCCGTAGCGTGTACTCTCAAGGTAGAGCAAAAGGGACGCTTAACGGCTAGTCAGGGTTAGCTAGGGAAGTAGAGCTGATCCTGTAAAATACAGGTTATCAGCCGTAGGCTAACTAGATTAGAGCTATGGACCCGATGGATGACGACGTCGCACCGAACTCGTACGGAAGTGGCTTTGACATTGTTCCGAGTATACCCAATAGTTTGGACGCAGTTCAACGACATGAACAAGCAGTTGCACAAGTGGCAGCTATGGATCCAAGGGTAGCTTCGGAGGTATACCAAGAAATGCTAAGCAGTGGTGGTAGTGTTACTCTCCAAGAGGCGACACGAGCTGCCATAGCAGGTATACCGTCAGCCACCGTAACTGGTGTGCCAACAGTAAATAACTTGTTGGCAATGACTAGGTTCAACGTCGCCAACCTGAACGCTACATCAGGTGATGAAGAACTACGACGGGAACTACAGCAACATGAGTTGTTGCTCAGCGAGCAAGCTAGGCGTGAAGCTGAACTCGAAGCGCTGCGTTTCAGGCATATCTACGAGAGGGAAGCTTCTGAATCGATAGCAGCAACAAAAGCCGCAGCAGAGCAAGCAATGCTGAATTTGCAACAGAGGGCTCAACAACAAGAACACAATGTTCAGCAGTTGGCCCAGCATCACGACAACGTTGCGATCAAAAGGTTGCAAGGCACGTTGGAGGAGCAACGAGAGCATTTTCAGCAGAGATTAGCTCAGGCTACAACTGCTCATGAGAGGGTTTTACAAGAAAAGAATGCCTTGGCAGAGGAAGGCAATGCTTTTGTCGACAGGATGAGAACTGAACATCGCCAGTACACGGAGCAGCAAGAAGCAAGGCTAAAGGCAGCTTTAGAGGCAACAGACAAAGCTCGATCCACATCAGCTGAAGAGGCCCGTGTTGCTATAGACCTTGACTTCAAGCGTGAGGAACTGTCCAGTTCGTTGGCAATTGCACAAGCAAAGATTAAAACACTCCTTGGTGAAATGGAGTCGACTAAGTCACAACATGCAGTTGACCGGGAAACCCAAGAGCAAACAATCATTGAACTCCGCAAGGACAATGCTTTGTTGAAGGGTGAGATGGATGAACTCAGACGTGTTGTACAGGCCTTGTCGGACAAGGAAGAGGAGCGCAAGGAAGTCGAGCGCAAGGCTCAAGCCGCTAGCCCAGCTAAACCAGGGCCGCTGCAACCAGAGCAACCTCCACCTCCTGTTCAACCAAATGTTCATCCCGTTGGTCAACCTCGTTCATTCGAACCTCTTCGTACGGAAGGCACAGTTCCTGCAACCCTAGAAGGTTCGCCCTCAGACCCAGCCGGAATTCCTCTGAAGACAGCTATGGATGCTTCAGCAACAAGTCGCAACACAGGATTTCCTTCAATGTTCTCTGGGACAGGGGCGCAAGCAACTGAACAGGCCACCGCCTCTACCGATAGGCAACAATTTAAACAATCTGATCCGTGGATGGATTACAGGATGAAGTCGGCACAGTACAACTTCAGCGACGACCCTCTGTACAAAAGCTCCTTTAACCAGGATGCAACACAGAAGAAGGATGATCGCAAGGACGAAGGGCCGGCATCTCAGGTAAGAACTCCACAAGATCAAGATTTGGGGGAAATCATCAAGAAAGCATTGCTAGAGGGGTTTAAGGGCGCAAAGAGCAAAGATTCCGACAAACCCAAAGCAAAAGAGGCTGATAAGATAGATCTCCCTGAATTCCCAAGTCCTGACAGGTACCGCACTTGGAGGGCCGCTGTTCGCGAAGCGATACGGTCCGCGTCCGACGACCCAGATGCTGCGTTCGCATGGGTGCTTGAGGTGTACGCCGTTCGGGAGGACAAAGCAAAGCTTTGTTCTGAGCTGGCTGACCCAGGCAAGTTTCGGACCTTAGACACGAAACTCCTTGCTGCTTTGACTAAGGTCGCCAAAGGTGAACTGTCTCAGCAAATCCTTAATTACAGGGAATCTGAGGCACTGCAGGGTAGGATCGTTCGTGGTCGTCAGGTTTTGCTCATGTTTGAAGTCCACTTCAAGACCAGTGAAGAAGCGGGTGCACTGTATGGCACGGAAGACCTCCTGAAAATCTCGCTTGACAGCGATGACTTGAAATCCTTTCTAAGGAAATGGGAAAGTGTGTTGACCGGAATGAGTCATGTTCCTGACCCGGCAACCCTCAAAGACTTGTTCTATAGAGAACAGGAAAGGTGTGTACCTCAGGCTTGAATTCAAAACGAACTCTCTTCTCTTGCACAACACGGAAAATTGACTTCCCAGTCCAATCAAACCCTTGTTTCGCGTTTGGGTGTCTCTTCCAATCACCCTTCAAGGTCCTACTCTTTCCCTTTGAGTCTGTGACCACCATGGTGAATCGGTTTTCCAACCTAGACGACTCCACCGGACAGGATTTACGTGTAGGGAGAAACAACCTGTTCCTAGGCTTTAAATGATGCCTGATCAACTCGGTGCCATCTTTGGAGAATTCCCAGTAGTCCTTGCTCTTGTGGGTCCGAGTAGCGGTTGCTGCTAAGCAAGACATTGCGAAACCTGTTTGAATGCATGGACTGGCCTTTGGACTTTTGTCTTTCTTTTCCCGTTTGCTCTTCTTGTCCTTTTTGTCCTTCTTTGACTTCTTGTCTTTAGACCTTTTAGCCGCGGGAGAGGGACTTCTTCTGCGCGGGGCCGGTGTAGCCGTTTCACCGTGTTTGAAAGGACGTTTCTCACCCCTTTTGCAGTTGCCCTTGGCAAAGAACCTGCATGGCTTCTCAGATTTTCTGCCTCTACTTGAGCTTCTTGATGAGTTCCTTGAACTATTGCGGGAGGATGGTCTTGACGAGCTTCTTGAACGACTTGACCTGAAAGAGGATCGACCACTTGAACTTGCGCTACGCGATCGTGACGACACCCGGCTAAGGGAGCGGGGACGTGCGCTAGAGTCGTGAGAGTACTTGCATTTGCTTCCGTACTTACACTTGCCGGTCTTGGCGAACTCATAGCACTGGTTGCTTCCGTCACCCTTTGTGCTCCTCTTGCCATAACTTGGGCTTCGCGTACGCTTGTCATGTGGCGCCGGGTTTGCATACTTTGCGGCATGCGATTGTGAGATCTTCTCACGATTGGTCCTTAGCCTTTCTCGATCAAGATACCGTCGAACAGAATTAATGAGGAATTCATAACTTCTGTCACTACTTCCTTTCGCTGCCCGTTCATAAACATCAAGGTCAAATCTGAGTTTACGGGACTTCCTGACCTTGGAAGGAAATGTACCGGCATGTAGTGAATAAGAGCAAAAGGCGGAACCTGTTCCGGACCACTGAGGAATGTCCAAAGTCCCATACATTGATGAGACGCGCGCCCCATTTTCAATCCCCGAGCCACTCAGGACACGACTTACTAAGGTACTCGACTCCATCCACCAGTTCACCATCGATCAGGGCTTCGCTATGGCCAGCCATGAGTCCGAACCCGAGGATGAACAAGAAGACGAGGATGAGGCTGGCGTAGCTGCCAATGCCGATGAGGAACAGGGAGATGAAGCGGAGAGCGACCCGGAGGTTGAGGTCCCTTTCGATTTTGAGGATGTCCCCGTAGCAGGGGAAAAGACCGAAGAACAACTTCGCAAAGAAGCAAAATCAGGGGCGCACCAGTTCACACACAGACCAAAGAACCCCTACTGCGATATTTGTAGCGAAGCAAAGATGCTTGCACCCTACGGTAGAAGCGTAGGCGGATCACAACACGTATTGGCCCGTGGTTTTGGAGACCACATCGTTTGTGACCATGTCATCCCCAAAGACATTGAAGAGGGGATAGAAGGCCAAACCTCGATGTTGGTGATCAAAGATGTGTATACTCAGTACCGTTGTGTTTATCCTTCAGAGAACAAAACGGCCGATTCCATAGTGAGGGCCTTCAAACATTTTCTGAAGACTTCTGACATTGTTGGTATAGTATACACTGACAACGCTCCAGAAATGCTGGACGCCATCGAAGAGCTCGGTTTTAAGCACCAAACTTCTGTTGAGTACCAACACTCCACCAAGGCGGTTGTCGAGCGCGAGGTCCGCACCATTTTGGAAGGGGCGCGCTCCAATCTCCTTCAGGCTAACATGCCTTTTGTGGCCTTATGCCTCCAAACATCATGCTATGGCCATCAACATTGTCAAACAATTGAATGGTAATGATCCCCCATGGGCACTTCGTTTTGACAATGGATTCCTTGGTAGGCAACTTCCTTTTGGATGTCTCCTTTTCTTTTGGGAAGGAAAGTATGAGCCAAAAAGAGGAAAGTTTGCTCCCAATGCCAAGAGGGGTGTTTTCTTAGGATACAACATCCAGGCCGGACATGTTTGGAGGGGGGAGTATTTGGTTGCGCATGTTGATAGTTTGGAATACTTCTTAAAAGAAGGACACCTCAAGACCATTAGAACTAAACGAGTAGCTCTTCCCGATGGAGATTTTATCTTTCCCCTTCACTTCAAGGAAAAGCCAATTCTTGACCTCCAAGACCTGGACTATCAGCCTGAGGGAGACGATGATGATGATGATGCTCCTCAAGGCGATGATCCTCCAGATCCACGGTCAGGGGCGCCCGAACGTGAAGAAGATGTTCCTGAAGTTGTTGTAGAGGAACCAGCCAGCGTAGAAGCTGAGCCGCCAGAAAAGAAAGGGAAAGAAAAGAAAGAAAGGGAACCAACCTTGTTTGAACTTTATTACGACCCGTCTGTCAATCCTTACATGTTTCCTGATGGAAAACCAGTTCCTAAAGGCTATGTTTACGACGGGGTTCGATTGGTTAAAGAAAGGAAAGGTTCCAAAAGAGTTCCAGGATTTCCAACTGATTTGTGGCAGAATTTGAGCCACAAGCAACGAAAGAAAGCGTGG